ATGAGTTTAACAACTCGCTATCACCCCAGTGCAAAGCCAGGTTAGACCCAGCAACTGCTGCTGATAGCACATCTAGCACAGAAGGCCTCAGAGATTCACAGAGAGAGTGGTGGTTTTCCCACATAAAATGAACAATTAAAAGGTGAGCATCTGCAAAATGAATACACAAAAAGAGAGCTTAACAATTCTATTTCTAATCCTGATATAATTCTTAGGAAATTTTTTAACAATTAAAGATAAAATTATTCTCGACTGAACTTTTTTTCAACTGACTACTTCCTCTGAAGTTCTGCATGTATCAGTTCCTGTATTCTTATCTGATAAGTTTTGGTGGGGTTTCTTAAGTACAAGATATATTTTAACTTCCTGTACTAAGTGCTGCCAACTCACTTTAGTATAAAAATGTGTTTAAGTCTACTTAGAACTGCCACACACTCTAATAACATTACTAGAGTGAGTTCCATTAATATAACTTCTAAAGGCACAGGCCTTGTCTGATTCTGCCTGCAGACACAACAGGCAACTTTCACTCACAAATCAGGACTCGTGTTTGCTTAGGCGGAAGGGGAAGCAGGGATCTTTCACTGCTTTTCTTTTTCAGAATATGGCACATAAAAGCGATTCAGATTTGCTGAGCTGTGCAAAGCACATGCACAGAAACGTGCCATGAAAGCGGGCAACACATGAAAAAATAATAGGAAAAATTGGAAACAAAACATCATACTGATTTACAGTGGAGTGTTATGGGAACATTACAGAAACTTCAGCCTTAGGAAAGATAATGTCTTATCTAAAGATTCTATGTGTTTGATTCAAGTAGTAGCAGTGCCTTGGCTCCCAGCTCCTTCATTTGATTGCTTTGTCTCGTTATTCCATGATTCATCACTTCCTAAGTAACCAAACAGTTAAAATGGGCAGTGTTCAGAACAGCAACGTTTCCTGCTTCTATCAATACAAACATCTTCTGCTCTCTTCCTTGACAGGGAGTCCAATACTGGTTTTTGCATTACAGGGGAAAGTTTCCCCGAGGTATTATCCAGCACTCAAGGCTGCCAGCCCCACAGTCTCTAGTCACCTTGCAGAAACAGAGCCCTTGGGGAAATTGTGAGTCTGACTGAGCTATTTAATAGGCACAAAGTTTCCACAGTTTCTCCCAATGAAAGTGCTGGTTCAGGACAATATCTGGTTGGATGCAAGTGAGGCACTCTTGAGTTAGCTTGCTCACAGACTGCGTGCTTACAGCTCAGCACCCTTCTATCCAGAGCTGTGCAGCCTCCCCAACGCTCCCCCAAAGCCAGGTAGAAGGTGCTGGTTTGGTTATGGCAAACTGACTTGGATCTAACAATGTAAATGATAAATTCCCAACAGTTCTTCAGGAAATGGATATACACGCATACACACAAAAAAAACATATATAGGGAGGGAAAGAATTACAGGTTTCGCTATACAGTACTAAACTGTCACATGGCAAAATAAAATTGTGTGCTCCCAAACCCTCACAGTTTGCACTGCTATGGCTTGCTCATGAGGCCATACTCCATGTAATTATCAGCCAAACTACATCAGTAAACTGTTCCTGATAGCATAATAACTTGCCTTCAGCATTTTTACTTTAAGGTCTAGACTTCTGCTTAGATTTATGTACCCTGACAATGCTGTTGAGTTACTACTTTGTAAAACTAGATATTAGCAATGCCAGAAGAGCTGGAAACTTCACAAAACAGTTGCCTCTTCACAGAACTCTACAGAGTTTTGAAGTATTAGTTGATATTATTCAACAGAAACACAAAAGAATAGTGGTGCCTAAATCCTTAATCACATCACTGGGATTTTATCTGAACTAAGAAGGTCAAAACACAGTGCAAGCTTTTCAACATCTGAGCTAGGTTTTCTCTAAATGTTGATTTCAACTGTCTTGAATGTTAATCACTGGCCATGATTAAAGATATTTTGTATATCTGTCTAAAGAAAATCAATTGGAATAATTGCTTAGACCTCAACTGCAGAAGCAGGTAGTAACACATACTCTTATGATGAAGCTCATCATGGTTTTTTTCCATGAACAAAGGCAGAGTAACTGCTCATCTCTTCTGGAATTTGCTAGAAGTGTAACAACACATAAGCTAAAATATTTCACAGCTGAGTCCAGTAGAGATAAATGTAGCGGAGGCTTTGAGCAGGTCTCCAACCATTCCTACTGAACAGTTTTGCTTGAGAGTTTTTTATTGCTGGGTCGCTGCCATTTCTGTAAATGTATTTTTTTCTGAGCAAGAAGTGTTCAACAATGTTCATGTAGGGTTTCACAACTGCACCTTTGACACCACGCTTTGAGCAATACTTCTGCATGCTTGTGATGTGGGTATTTCATTTTCATCTGTTTTGAAATCAGGTTTCCCATTTAGGACAGTGTCTCTTTGAGCTTGTATTCTCTAGCTAACTTGTAAACCAAAATGGATTTATAATTGTGACTAAAAAGGAAAACTGACTATTTCATGTTCAATTACATGTGCTTATCAATCTTATAATGCAATGACAGTGAATTGTCACAATCAGTCAAAACCCCGCCAAAGAAAATTGAGTTACAGCTAAGCAAAAAATCATGTTAATATAGCTACCACACGTGCATTTAAAAAAAAAAAAAAAAAGCCCACCCTCTAGGTAATTTTTTTTTTTTTCACTAATTTTTTTTGCACTGGGTAGCACAAAAGCATTATTTCCAACAGAGAAGGAGAAACATGCTTTCAGGAATGAGAAACATAAAATTATAGTTATCACAGGAAATCTCTAAAGAACCACAACTATCTATGGATGCTTCCATGCACTCTCTGTGGTAAAACAGGGACAGTGACACGGTATTGTTCTCCCACTGCTTCCAACAAATATATTCAGTGTGCTTACTAGAGAAGCGAAAAGGAGAGTTTCAAATGCCTTGACAGCCAAATGAAATTCCAGTTGGATTCAGTGCTTTTCAGAAAGCTGTAAGCAATATTCAGGCTTCTACCATTCACTGGCTTTCTTTGACCCCTTATCCCAACAAATGAGATTGATGCAGGTTAAGACTGAAATTATTTGATGTGTTTCATATCAGAAAGGCCTTCTCATTCTCTCTTTTTTATCAGCAAAAACATTTTCCACTGCCTTGATGGCCATATGTAGTAAGCCAAGTGTTGCAATGTCTATTCCAGCTGCAGTCTGTTCAGTCACAGTTTAAAGGAGCAGACAATGGGTTTGAACCATAGAACATTGTACTGGGAGTTTGCTTTGTACAGTCCTGTCAGCGCCAAGCTGTTATCTTCAAACAAGGTGTTGCCATTATATGCATCTTTTCTTGCTCTACAGCTATGATATGCACAAACCTGGGATTTTTACACTCAGGTTTTTCACAAGTGCCAGAAGAAGCTGGATTGAGGCTCATGCAAACACCATCTGCCGAATCTCTTCCAAAAAGTTTCCCTTGCTCTGCCCACCAAAAAAGTGGAGGTGCTTGAAAGCTGCTGGAAAGTACAAAAGAGGCAGACTGGCACTACTGCTAGTCAAAGACTGCCCCAAACTACCTTGGCTGACAATAGGGGTACAGGTTATGCCAATCTTCTGCATGTTTAAATTACAGACTCTTCAAGCTGAGCTCTTCTGAAATTGCAAGCAACCATACTCCGCTGCTTCCCCGAAGAGCAAGAAGAGTGCAGAAACCTGACTCCTCAGAAGGGTCTGATCTGCAGGTCAGTGACCCTTCTTGGAGGGGAAACTCCCAATGCAAAAGTCTTTACCCCTTCATCTAGTTCTATCTTGACATACACATTTTGAAATGCAGTATCCTTGGACAGTTAATGTAATCAACTGGGGTTAAACAGTCAGCTCTTACAAGTAAGTCTATCACTAGTGGCTTCAATGTTGCATGATTTCACACTAGCAGAATAACTCATTCTTGTAAGTCTGTAAAATGGCATAGAATAAGATGTTAAAAAAGAAGTACCACATGGGGTGTACTGCCTTTTCAGAAAAATAAATGTCACTGCATGAAAAGATTGATTATATCTCTTTAGAATGCTCAAGGAAGATTCTGAAATTACATTTATTTTAAGCAACAAGAAGAAAAATAAGTTGTTTCATTATGACATTAACTTCCACAAAAAACACACTACTCAAGGGAAGTGATAAATTCATGGCTGCATAATATCCTGTATGTGAGTAGTATCCTTTATTTAAAAAAAAAAAGACGGAAAGGGAAATGGATTATAGTGGGATCTCTCTCAGAAAAAGCATTTCATTATTGCTTTTGACTTGACTTTTGACAGTAAGCTTTTTTCAATTTTCCTGCCTACACGCAGCAGTAGCACTGTTAACTTTGCATAGAACACAAAGCCTTTAGTTTAGGATGAGGCAAATAAACGAGGTCCCCACAACCGAAGGTGTCTTCTTGATGCACAGATAAAATACTGTCAAGCCACTGATCCCAACCAAAATGCTCCTCTTGCTTTGCTTTCTTGCAAATCACAGTAATCAGTTAAATGGCCTCACCTCACCAATGGGAGATTCTCATGGCACACTGGAAAAAAGGCACTAAAAGTCTTACTGGGAAAACAAGTGGTGGAAGTCAAGGCTAAACTGTATTTAGAATGCTTCTCTGTGTATGAAGATTTGGACAATTCCTAAATTGCACTCATTCCTAATGATTTTAACCAATTGTTCTCAACTCTCCCACAGTAACATTTATTTTTTTTTTTTCAGGCTAGATCTATAGCAGCTATTTCTCAATGAATCCCCCTAAAACTTGCCATACATGTATGGAGTCCTCACACTCCACACAGGGTTTGAGCATGAATAATTGCAGGAGTGGCAGGCAACATTCATTTACAGAACTACATCTCTAAGAGAAGGAAGAAAGAATTTAATATATTGCAATTACTGATTTAGGAACCAATTTTGCCTGGAAAAGTAAGTGGGAGTGGAGAGTATGCTGTAATCTTGAGGAAATGTTAAGCTTATTGCCTGATACTCACAGAATTTATTATCCCTTTAAGTGCTTGGAATCCTCCAGTGACAGGGAAGACTTGCTCTTTTGTGTCAGCAATTCTTTCAAGCTTTGGAGAGAGAACACATGCAAACATGTGAATCATTTGGCAAACTAAATTCGTCAGGCTGCTTTTCACCCTTAAAATGTAAATGGATGTCTAAAAACAACTCCCATCAACTCGCAAAGCGAAGGAAAATTTTTATTTCCCTCTCACCTAACTATGACTTTTCTAAATGGGAGGACATCCTACAACCTACTGCAGTAACGAAATGGTACAGCGGCTAGCCATCCTGTCAAACTACCACACTAAGTAAACCTTTTAGGGCCTGTATCTTGGCAGCAATTTTGTAACTTGTTTCAGAATTACTTTCCCTGCTTGTTCTGCCTTCCATTAAAGAGCAGTGCCTTCTGTAGTAAAGAGTCTTTTCCATACTTCTCCGTTTCAGTCACTTTCACATTACAAGGGTAGCTAGAGCCTTCAATATGATGTAGCAACTCCAGAAGAGCTTTCAGTCAATGAAGGATACTTCTTTCTTTTTCTTATCCCAAGGCTGTTATACATGCTGCTTGGAGCTTGTCTACAGCTACTCTGTTGATGCGACCTGTAGCCTAATCTGGTTGTCATCGTAATGAAAGTGGTTCTCCTTTCCTGCTGGCAGCTACCAGTTAGCAAGGGTATTTCCGAGGGGTCTTCTCAGTAATGGAAGTGACACCCACACACTCTATTTATGTCTATCTACACATCTGAGTGTCTGCTTCCTGAGACAAAGGAGACATTATACTGTCTAATGTAAGTAAAATTAATTTCTATATTACTTAACTGTAGAGAACCCTGTGACAAGATACTCCCTAGTAATCTAAAATAATAATGTTCTTACCTGTTCTTGTACAAAATCAAGGACACCAACACAGTAAACTCTGGCTCCCAGCTCTCTGGATTTTTTTGCCTGCCCCAGAATAGAACAGAGGAATAAGAATTTTTTCACTCAACAGACAACACCCAAATTCTGTAGAATGTAACATGTATTTTCACCCAGAGCTCACCTCTTTCTCTGCATACAAGGGAACCTGGCCATCTAGCTTGCCGTCTGTCAATGCAATGATAATACTAGAAAACCTTGAGGCTCCTTGATTCGCAATTTGCATGTTGGCCTGAAAACAGAAAATATTTATCGAGCTTAAAATTACACCTGAACTTTTTACCAAGATACATCCTCTAAGTCAATATAGCATCTGAAATAACATTCAGCCTCATCTTCAAACCCATCTCTTGTGACAGTCCTCTGCCCCCTTTAACTCACTACTAACAAGGAAATCATTCATCAGTATTTTCCAGTCACCAGTGAGCCCATCTCCGAAGTGCTGGGGTCATTAACTGATCGACCCTTGGAAACACTTGATTCTTTCAGGATAAATTCTCTCCAAGTTGTGAAGCTCGCTTCTCTTTAGATCCACCATAAGGTTTCCTTTGCTACCCCCTAGATTTCAAATGCCAGTCAGTAAGTTCCAAGATATAAAAAGAATGGCTTGAAACTAAAGTATTTTTTTAATGGCAACAAACTTCTGTTTGCCTAGCTTTTCAGCCCACAGATCACAATTGCAAACCTGGTTCCATAGACAGAAAGGAAAAAACTGAGTTTCTATCCCTAACAGTGAAAGTGCAGATCCTTAATTTATCCCTCACCTTCAAGGCCTGAGTCTTTCAGCACAATCACAAAGTATACTTTAACTGTACATCTCAAGAAAATACAAGCAGTTGGGAACTCAATAATTAACATAGTCCAAAATTAAGACCATTTGTCTTGAAAATGCTGATCTGTGCACTAAACTCTCCATAAGCACGTGCTCTAGAAGGCACTGTTAGACTTGGAGCTCTACTAAGCTGTGTGTGACTATTTACCATGTAATTGGTATGCTGTGTTAACTGTTAAATTCACAACAAAGAACCGCTCTCTACTGCAAATGATTGAGTCAAAGAAATTCCATATGGCAATTTTGTGTGATGGCTAGTCTTCTGCATGGGGTTTGCATAGTATCTGGGCCATCTTGGGACCACTTACACTGAAATCTTTCTGGTTTCCTAACAGACTGAGGCATGCCATTAATTCATGTATGTTACAGGTGGTTATTGTTATCCAAAGGGTGAGAACAGAGGATATCTTCACTGCAAGAGATGAGTAAAATCTACCTGTTGTAATCCTTCATGTATATATGTGTCACCTGCTGGTTTTACCTCCTCCAAATCCTTAAGACCTTTCTTGATTTTCTCTCTGAAACCAAAAAGGCAGAAGACTGTTAGCGTGATTTGAGGTGGGACGAGGGGTTAGTTTATTGATAGAAAAACTAATGTTTGTCATAAAGGAGATCTGAAATTAAAATCTGTAAAATATAGCATTTTACTAAGACACCATGCGGAGGCAGATTTTGTATTCACAACGGAAGCAGCACTGTGGTAACAGATATTTTAGACCTAAATAACACAATATGCCTCAGTGAGTCAAAGAGCGAGAATCAAGTAAAATGTTTCAGACAGAGCAAATACTGGAAAAAAAGTGGCAAAACTTCAGCATTAAATAGCCCAGTGGAAATTCTTCTGTACTAAGTCTACTTTGCTAAATTAAACCAACTTCCCTTCCAATCACACTTCAATTAAAAAAGAAATCCCCTAAAATAGTAGTTCTATTTCTAGAGAAATCTTCCAGGTCAATATGCAGGTATTTAATGTGGTATGACAGAAATGCAACAATTAAAGTCTTCTCCCTTAAAAAATAACTATCAATAGGCAAATGCAACATTTGCAAGACACTTATTCAAGGAAAGGGACTAGGATTATTAAGGACAGGGTTTTTTAATTTTTGGCTGTCACTACCTTTCTGTGTGACCTTTGGCAAGACATCACACTTATAGAGGTCACAGTTCATTTATATTTAACAAGATGATATAAGTTTGTGCCACGATTTCTCATAGGCCTTTAAATTAATCTATCTTTGATTGCAAAATGCTCACTTAAATATGATGGTAAGACTGGGAAAGCTGGTAGGTAGCACAAAAGAATTATTTCCAGTGAAACCAGTATGAGTGGGGAGGGAAAAAAGGTGGAGAGACTTTACTGAAATAATCAGATCTGGAAGTTGTTAATTCCTAGGCAAGCAAAGCTCCAGTGAACCCCATGGAAAGCTGTGCTAGAAAAAGACAAGTGAAAACTAAGTAGGGAAAAAATTTGGGCCAGAATATATAGAACACTATAACAAATATAGGTGACAAAGGAAACCAGCAGGGGTGAGGAGATGGAGGGAAAATACATTGCAGGCTGCGTGAAAGCTTTCCTTAGGGCAAACCAAATGAGAAAGAATGCATATGCCGCTCTGCCTGAATGCCACCCACTAATCATTTGTTCCACTGATGGGCTTCCTCTATGTTTAGAAGCTCTGTTCCAAAGCACAATCCATAGCTGTAATAAGCTCCCAATCACAGGATCAACCGATACAATTGGGGAGGGGGGGGGGAAGTAAAAGAAGAGCGTAATGTGGCATTGAATATATGGAAGAGAACAAGTTATGTAAGATAATACAATCTGTTTGATCCAAATATTTTACATTCAGCATCTAAAGAAACAACTTGAAACTGATTATGTATGAGTGCAGATTATAAACCGCATACTTAGTGCTTGCCAGAAATGAGTGGCAGCACATCACAGGCGTTAGTGTTCTGCTGCCAAGAAACAAACAGCAACTGAAGTCCCAGTTTTCTGAAACAGATTTCATTTTGCAAAAATAGCTTTTGTACAATCAGTTCAGTTTTATTTATCTAAAATGTCTTGCGACCCGGTCGCACAAAAATCTCTGTTTTTTCCAGGCCTACAAGGGGTTCCAGGAAAATCTTCAGCAGCATGAGCTTTTTGCTATCCCTTGGGGCACATCTGTAGGAGACAGGCCCAGACAGATGTGAACAAGCTCCACCCGTGCTCCAAGCTGGTCAGGTACAAGCACCTCCTGGTCTGGATGTCCCAAGGCAATGTGGGTGCAGGACTTTGGGCCCCAGCAAACGAGCCCCCCTGGCCAGCAGGAGAGGTTAGTCCAGTCATGCTAAGACTTGCACCCAGCCAGTTTGGAGGGTGGGCACAGGAGCCCTGCACCATTTTGGTAAGGGGAACTCTCTTTAGTCTACCAGTCATAGCACTACCCTCATTCACGGTCTTCAGCACTCTCAAAACTCTCCTTTCTCTAGTTTCTATAATAATTTTTTGTAGCCACAAAAATCCACAGAGAAGTTCTGGCTTAAAAAATTCATCTGTACCATAATAACAGACCCATGACCTCAGTCTGGGTGTCTGGACACTGCCATGGTACAGTTCACTAACAGTGATATAGGCTGAAGGGCCATGGGCTTCATGGTTTAAGTCAGACAAGGGAGGGAGGTGGAAAAGGCAAAACAAAATCAGCAACTTGCAGCCTGTGTTTGGGCTGAATGAGTAGAAATTTAATATCTCTTCCCTATTCAGCATATGCGCTGCATCAGCCCTCTGTTTTTTAGAAAAGGCACATCTAAATTTTAATAGCTACCCTATCTGTTCTCTCTTTTAAGATTTGTAACTACTTCAGATAATTATTCCAGAAGCAGCAGGCAAACACACCCATGGCTACCAGCTCTCTGCCCTTTTGGTCAGTGGGTTCTTTCCAGCTAGTCCATAAGCGAGGGGCTGCAGGCGTAATCACAGCCTGGCTCAGGTGGGGGGCGGTTCTGATGGCAGCCTGGGCAGCACCCACTGCTCCCACCTCTCTGGGGAGCTCTGCTGGGCTCTGTCTCGGGGAGCAGGACCTGGCAGCAGCTCCAGACACCTGGGCTGCAGAGGGCTTGTTTCCCATCAGGGAGGCTGTGCCAACTCCGTAAGACCTATAGGCTTATCTACAAACACTGCTCCCTGCACGAGCCAAAGTCTACACTGAGCTTGTCTTGGACTTTCAGTGCCTCCCCAAGGCAGGGCACTGCAGAACTAAATTTAGAATTGAAAACATTTAGTAAAGAGAGATTACAAAGCAGCCCAGCTTTGCAAACAACTGAAGAAATCAATTTAACATAAACTAAAATGTAGCAACCTCTCCTTACCTGAGAATTCTCCACAGTTTGGCTGTTACTTTCAGGTCTAAATATAACTATGTGCTTTCCAAGTCTGAATTATGCCAAGGCAACTATCAGCTGTTCACAGGAGAGGTTTCTCTGTACAAGCTCTGTGGCACCAAGCAGCAAGCTTTTATCTAGGTGACTCAACAGACACTGTTTTCATCACTGTTTAGTATTACCTCTTGAAGTAAGTTTAATTGACACAATGCTAAAAACAGTGTTGTCAGCAGCTAAGTGGTCAGTTGTTAAGGCATCGCCTTGTTTCCTTGCGTAGACAGGGCCACAACCAGTACTGAGTCTCCATCAGAATCTATGCAGTTTTAAGTACTAGTGTTCTTAGATCTTCTGGATGGGGCACAGTATCTTATCTTTCTTTTCCATGTTGCATTCTACCTACTGAAGTGCTGGAATCTTGAATAGTTTTTCAGTGTGTTGAGAGTATGAGCGCTGGCAGGGAAAGTGTGCTTCCCAATGAGCGTGTATTTATCATCAGGAAGGAGGCTATGCACCTGCGAGGCAACGTACTTCATCTCTAACAAAAAAGGCAAACAAAACAGGTACTTCGGTTTTGCTGCTAAGAAGGAAGTTTAATAAACAAGAAAAAGCACAAAGGTGTAGTGAAACAAAGGGCGGGGGGGAAGTGTTCTTTAACAAAAACTGGGATAGTTACATCCCTAACAAACAGAACTGTCATACTGGTGAAAGTAAATCCTGCACATCAGTCTCCCCCAGGGCATAATTTGGAGGTGGTTCCTGCTTTCTACACCTCTCAAATACTACAGGGGGCTCAGTACAATTATAATAACTATTGTGTTTCAAACTTTAGGTCTCCTGCATGGGCTCCAGATGGAAAACACGTAAGTAGCTGACTTTGCTGTACTTTATACACACAGCAGAACACGCTTTCTGCAGATGGCTCTATTTTGGCAAGTTTCTTGAACCAAAGCACAGGGTTAGGTCACGTGACTGAGGCTCAAAATGCATAAATGTCTTGCTAGACTACATGTCTCTGTGCAATAAAGGAATAGTCAGTGAACTCCACCAGACTATGGATAAGCATAGTAAGGTACCGTTGGTCATTTACCAGGTACTTAAGTGTCCTATTTTTCCACCTTAACTAATGTGATCTTTCTTTAGCTCCAACAGGAGTTTCACCCAAGCAGAGTCAGCAGGGCTAGTCCTGGCCATGTACACTGGTCAAATGCTGCAGAAGCAGGTTTACAGAAACCAGAAATTCTGCTGGCCAGCATGCAGTTGGCCAAAAGAGAATGCAGAAGATATCCTGCCATCTGGATGATATCCGTAAGCTTATCTACTTTTCCAAACAACTCATTTCTCAAAACTAGCAGCAAAACTAAGCCCCAAATGTGAATGCATAAATTTTTGTTTACCACTTAGTATATAGTTTCCAGCTAAACTTCACAGGGGAAACATGTATCTCGAAAATGGGATATAACCATTGTGAGAAGTCTTTTCCATCTGGGTGTTATTTTTATTCTATGTATTTATTATAGCATTGTGTATACTGTGGTTAACAGTGACTTCTGTTTTCAGAGATATTCACATAGCACTGCTCATAGTCACAAAATATTTGGTAAGCTGGGGGCTTTGGTGCTATGGTGTGGGTTTCTTTATATCCACAGCTTTATTATGCAGTAAAAATCAGCAAGAACTTTGTACAAACAATTAGAAGCCTAAGGCTTTCAAAACAAAAAATACTTCCCTACTTTGAACTAGCTGCTGGGATTGAATTATGGTTTCCTGGCGTTTGCGAATTAGCAAGTAAGCAAGGGGAAAAACATCCCTGCAAGTCCCAAATGCACATAAAAAAACCAAAGCCATAACTCATAGTCACATACACACCCATCCCCAGAACTGCACTGTACTTAGCAACCTCATCTTCTGTTTGCAACAATGAGAGTTAGGTAGTCTAAGTCATTTTCCTCTGTTGACTTCTTTAATATTTAAAAGGACAGCTGCTCCAACTGTATCTACCCAATCTTACCTATGTACATATGGTCACAGTTACTAATGTCTTCTTCATTCTCCTTTTAATTCCTCCTAAACAATAACAGTAGTAATTTCCTTTCCCCTACGACGTTCATAAAAGCATCAGCAAACCCTGCATTAAAGAAAAGTCCTACAAAGGAACTCACCAGAACTCAAAAGCGTTCTTCCTATGCTTTAAACGAGGCTTCCGAAAAAAAAAATGTGGTTCTTTTTCTATAGGTTACAGTGTGCCACAGCCATGCAATGAAAAAGGCACTTGTGTTTCCGTGGCGGGGTTGCAGAGTCCTGGCCAAGCATTCCAAGTGGTCTGTATGCTGTCAGGCTGACTCTGCCTGCTTGATAAGGAATAGGCCACTGACAAGGATTTAAGGGCCTATTGAAATCGAGAGAAAGGATCTCATTGACTTCATCAGTCCTTGGAACAGGCTGAAGTGTCCTCTCCTGACCTCTCTTAAGCCATCTGGAAAAATGGCTCATAACCTTGTCTCTCCCTGCAGAGAGCAGATGCAGTATCCAAGTTGCGGGTGGGGGGAACTAAAAACTTGGCCATTCGCAAGTCAGACCACTCTTTTAAATGCTAAAACAGGAGGGGCTTGTAATTGGGTCTTTAAACATCCTACTTCTAGGATGTCAGCGTGCATTTCTGTAGTGTGACACATTTGTCTGCTGCCCATGACAGGTCTCTTCAGTAAGTCTTGTACTTGCTATTATGTATTATTTGAAATGGTTGTTAAAATTATTCCAAAGTGGATTTAAAATCCACATTCAAAATCCCAACAGCTGTGCAGTGCAGCTAGGTTCTGGACAGAAGGGAGAGAGGAGGTCTTGTTGGTTTTGACAAGGCTGAAAGGCTATTGAAGGACTCTGGTGACAGCACAACTGTCCTTTGCTGAAAGCACCAACTCCATAATACCGATTTCCAATACCTGTGATTTTAGTAGTAAATTTTGCAACAACCTCTTCTCTACCTGTTTTTCTGCTTCTGTTTCCTCCAGTCCATCCTAGCTCCTAATCCTTATTTGCTTTACAGAATCACAGAATATTCATGGCTGGAAGGGATCTCTGAGATCATTGAGTCCAACCACAAAAAAAAAAAAAAATTAGAAATCCGAGTGAGCAGCCTTGAATTCCATTGCCTCTGAAAACATCAACCTAAAGGAAGAGTTCAGGCACATCTGTACACCATCACTGCGCCAGAAAGATCTCACACCTTTGCAGTGACACCAACTCCACTGTCTACAACCGATTTTGAAGTCGTGATTTGAAAATACAAAATTAAATACCTACCTTCTGTGAGATTATGGGAAACATTAACTTACCATTGTATGCTTTACCTAGACATGAAAAAATACTGAAGACTTATTTACAGACATTGCTTTACAAAAGTAAAAGCAAGAATCATTTCTTCTACTGTGCCAAGATAGTTGCAGTCATGCAGAGATGAAAACATTATGTGTAGTTTTTCTGCAATGCAATGGCACAGTTCACATCGAAAATGTATTTCCCATTATTCTTCTTCCTTTTTTACTAGTCTATCCATTGAGATCTTCACAAAATTAAATCCAGCTCTGCACGGAGGCTTCATGACTGGCCACCACTTAAAGGTATCAGTTATTGTTTGGTATCTGTTACTGTTCCTCTGATTTAATAAATAAAAGCCCTTGGCGGGGAGGAGGGAGAATTAAAAAACCAGCGCACTAACCTGTCTCCAGTTAATGGCAGAATGACGTGTGCTCGGGTGGAAAACACGATAAATGATAATCTCATCTTGGGGCTTTTAGAAAGAGGAAAAAAAATACATTTTAGACAAATGAAAAGAAATGTACAGATGCACAGCATTTCACTTATGCTTCATTAGTATCATCTTTGTCCTCTAGCTTCCAAAGAACATACTCTTGAACTACAAACCCAGAATGAGAGAGGAATTAATGGATTTCTGCCCATCTTCTCCTTACTCTGATGCTTTGAGAATGAAGTAGCAGAATTATTATTCTTTCTTGCTTGACTAGACTCCAGATTAAGACATGCTGAGCTTACCAGCTCAGATCTCATGCGACCCAACTGAAAGTGAACTTCAGAGGTTGTGATCTACCAATGTATTGACGGTAGCACATCCTTTTATATTTTTGTGGTCAGGGGTGTCAAAATAAGTCAGGGACATAGACTCAGGGTATGCTCTTGCTTCTGGGTATTAAATATGGACACATTCAAAAGCCAGTTTCCCCTTTTTAAAGGTTGATCTTGACACAATGTAAATTTCAAACTGTGCTTTTTGTTCATAAAATCATCAGGGTCAAAGAAACAGTGCCCTCCAAGTGATGCATCTCTAAAAAAGCAGCAGAATAAACTCTTTCAGAATTAGCATGTTTTTGTTTCAGTAACACAGAGTTGTGATGTTTAAGATCAACTTTCATAAAAGTATCCGGGGAGATGCCATTATAAAAAGCAATATTGTATGATTTTATTTTATTAAGAAATTCTGGTTTTTTTGTTAGAGTCCCACCTGACTCTTCCAACAAGATTAAGAGGAATTAATCTAACTATCAGTGGAAAATGCGTAAGAACTGATACTCTGGAAGCCCAAGACAGTAACTGTCCAAAGGTAAGTTGTAACAATATCTCTCTTACCTGCTTTAAAATTTCATTAATGACAATTTCAACATATTCAGTAATTCTATAATTCAATGCATAGCTGTATCGATATTAATTAATCAAGTTAATGTTAGTAAAGACGTAACACTACATTGTAAAGATGAATGACCATACTTTTTCAGTTCACTTATGCCAATGATGCAACTTAAAATTATTGACGTCATGGAAATATAAGCACTGGGCAAGTCTTTGCACAAACTGCACAGATCTTGGATTTAAGATCTGGTCTTGCAGTCTATCTGTTAAGGCTCTGATTACAAAAATCAGAGATGCTCTAAATTATTTTTTGTGATCTAAATCGTGGCATTATCTATCTTCTTAGTTGCCATGAGCAGTTGCCAAACAAAACACAAGTACTTGCAATCCCCATCTCTGGTAATTACATCACTGCCTCGTCCAAGTAATATGAGACTTCCCTATTTGCGATGCAACTCTCAGTGCATGATAACCTCAACGTTATGGTTTGTCTTTAGGACAGCCACAAAACTGTGCTCTTCACAAGACATGCCGTTTCTGTTCCACTCTCCCAGCACTCAGATGATGAAGAAGGATCATATGAATGCACCTGACGGCCCCACCAGGCACAGGCCCTTCAGAACCAAGATGGTGAGCACACAGTGCTATCACTGCAAACGTGCATGTTACAGTCAAACCGGAGAGCGATGCGTTGCCAGGAATCAGTTCTTCAGGTGAGGACTGAAGGAAACTGCTACAAATTGGTTCTTTGCCTTCTTCCCACAACTACTCTTTTCCATCTAAGAAAGGGCAAGACTGAAGAGCTCCATGCCCTATTCTGAAAGTGTACTGAGGCCAGAAGGCAGGACAAAGCCTCACCATCCTTCAGGGGCACTCCAGCCCCGTTAGGGATGTCCTGCTCAGACTCCCACAGAAGCCCAGCAGCCCTCATGCTGTGAAGGGTTTGCCCCACATAAGGCTGAGCGCTCAGCACCTGCACACCGAGCAAGATGCTCACACGTTAGCCTGTCTGGCTCTGCAACACGATTGATCCTCCCTTGCTGGGAAAGCTCAGCAGAATTCCATAGCTTTATTTCAGATAATGCAGCCAGACCGCTACACAACAACCACTGCAAGAGGGAGTGCCATTTGGCTGTAAAAGATGATGAACTGAAAGATTTACACCGAACAAGCCTCATTCTTTCTGTGGGGGCAAATGTATTTTTTTACCTCTCACCAAAAAGAAGTGAAGAAGAGCTGCTTTGGTATCCTCAGGCTTCTTTTTTTTTTTTTTTTTTAATTCTAGAGCTTACAAAATAACTTTTAAAAGCTTGTGTCACCTACTTGGTTTCCAGAAGATTTGCTTTTTACAAGATGAAGGTAAGCAATATTTAATTATGCAAGCCTAATTGTATCCCTTTATTAGGAAGCGAAGCACTTTATTTTCCTTAGCAAAAACTATCACAACATCTATGTCTGAGTGGTTGGGGGGGGCTCCCTTTGTTTTAGCCTGTTTTCCTTTAAAAGCATCCTCAGCTGTTTGTACAGTTAGCCGGTATTTACAGCAGCCGTTTCTGTGGCAGCAGTACTTGCCAGACAATACTGTTAGCCAGTTACAAAGTTGATTACATAGATGTACAACAAATATACCCTTAACATGGCATAAACTTCCTGTATGTTTGATCTTGAAAGATACTCCCTTCCTTTTACATATAGAGAGATATGTATTCAGATTGTCTTCTTTCCATAGATCTCTAAAAGCAATATACAAGTACTCTCTCAGAAATGAGGCATGTGGCTTCTGGGAAAAAAAAGTTTTAAAAAATCGTCAAATCACATCTGAGAGTAATTTCAGAGATTAAGCAGCTAAAGATGTATATTGCCACCTTTTAATTGAACTCCAAACATGAGAAAACAAAGTAAAAGTTTCCGATGTTTTTCACCAATTTGAGCACTAGAAACCAAACCGTTATTTGTGAAACATATCTACCAAGCGTATAAAAGCATGGCCCTTTTTTCAGCGCATCCCAGAAGTACAGATGTCACAAGGAGCAAAACCCACCTCACAAATCTCTCTGTCAGCTGCTGTACAAAATCAAATATTTCGTGCCAGTTCTGTGCTACGCTCCCCGATCTGGAAAGAAAACAAAAGCACGTTAGCAGGCCTTATTTAAGGAAGCCAGAGAAGGAAGGGTTACAGTCGGTGAGCAACTAGACAATACAGGACCATTTGCTTTCTGAATTATGTCGAGGGAGCAGCAATCCCGGCTCGGCACTACTCGGGCGGTCGGTGAAGCCCACGGCACGGCCCCCGCGCTCACACGCACGTCGCTCCCTGCCCCCAGGACGGCACCCGGGCTGCGGCCGTCCGCTACCCGCCCCCTTCACCCCAAAAACGGGGCGATCGACAGCTCCGGGGGGAAGGGGGTGCCTCAAAAATGTCGCCCCGTGTTCTGTCAGAACGCGCCCCCCCTCCCCTCGAAGCCCTCCTCCCGCCGGCTTCACCCTCTCCGCGGACACGGAGGGGGGGGGGGGCGGCCAGGCCCGCGGCGATGGACCTAAACTTTCTGCGAGCCCCCGGCGGCGGCCGTTAGCCCGTAACGGCCGTTCGCTCGCGGCGACCGTTAGCCCCTAACGGCCGGCGCGGCGCGCGCGGCCCCCTCAGCCCCGCGGCGGCCCCGACG